CAGAACAGGTTCAGGCCCGAGAATGTGCTCTCCTTGGGAGGTGGTGGGGCAGTTGGGTTGGAGGCGGCTGCTCTGCCCCTTTCTCCTCTGGGAGGCCCCACATAGCCCAGCCTTAGAAGGGGAAGGAAGGGGAGACCTGGCCTATCCCTCAGCTGCCTCCACTGGAGTCACCATATTGAAATGCTCCTTCCTTCTAGGCATTCGAAAAAGGTTAGCAAATCTGAGGATGCAGCAAGGGGGCTCAGGATCCCCCATTCCCAGAGAGCCTGCAGTAGTCCTCTCAGAGCCAAGCTACTTGCTCTTGCCTGGACCCCAGGCTGGGTCCTTGCCCATTGTCTCTGCACCTGACTTAGCACAGATGGGACCCTGCCCTTGTCCAAGCCTGGACTTCCATGCTATTCAAGGACGCATGTTCCTGTCTCTGGGATCTCTCCCTGAGGCTCCCCTGGAAGTTGCTTTGTTGGCTCTTTGTACCTTTGCCTCCCAATTTACATGCAAGAACATGCGATTTTAGAATAAACATTTATATACACACACATACATACTAATTCCAAAATAATATGGCTTCGGTTACCTTTTAAAATATTTGGGACCTTACCCTGATGATACCTACCAGTGACTAACTGAACTTGCTCAATTATGACCCATGGCAGGGCACAAAGTGATTTCTAAGCCAGCACCTACCTCCCTGTCACCATGTCACCAAGTCACCATGGTACAATGTGACTGTTTCCTTCATTTGCCTTGGAACTGCACCCTAGATGTGGGGACTTCCCCTGCCAGAGGGGAAGCAGGACTGGAAAACCTCAATTAGCATGGCCCGGAGGCCTGTGCCTTTGCAACCTTTAAAACAATGTCGCAGCCATATTGGAAAAGTCAAACAGGTTCCCCACATCAGCCACTCACCTCACAGGAAAGGCCCCTCAGAAGCAGTTTTATTAAAGGGTCTACAGCTTGGCTTAGGGGGCCAGGCCTGCTCTTTGGAGAGCTCCCATTCGGAGAAATGCCTGAGGACTTGTATAATATGCGGCTCGATTGGATGTGATCAGCTATTTTTGTTTTTGTTTTTATTGCATGAAGAAGTTTTCTAGCATATATTTTCTACTTATTTATTGTTTCCAAAGGAATACGGGTGAAAGCAGATAGGGCTGACATTTCTTTTCCAGCCTACCAGAACTTATTTTCTCTCCTTTCATGATTAAACAGAAATCGGATTTAATTGTAGAGCTTTAAAATTAGCCACCACTTTTCAGAAACATAAACATCTCATAAATTGAGAGACAGGAGAAATTCGGAGAGGAGGCAAAGCCAGAAATTTCCCGTTGCCAGTCTATATGCCCCATGTGGGGCCTGGTTCCCTGGTCAGGGCAGAGCTGGAGGGGATTGTGGACCAAACCGTTCATGGTGCAGGTGGGGAAACTGAGGGCCGCTTGGGTGGAAGTGGCCCAGCCTGCTGCCTGATCTGATGGCCGAGCCTGCCTTCCCATCCCCTCTCCAGAAGATGGGTTTCAGAGAGCGAGGGGTCTCTTAGGCCTGGACAAGCACTGCCTGTCAAGGCCAGACATGATGTACAAAAACGGACAAGGGAAATTGCGGGGGAGGTTCTGCCTTTGATTCCAGAGTGGGGGCTGGTGGGACCTGCCGTCAAAAGAGGCTCAAAACTTATTTTCCGGGACTTGTGTCTTTGCACTAATCAGTTGACTGGGGTGGGGAAATAGGATTCTTGAACTCTTCTCTGGGGAGAGGCCTGTGGGCGTAGGGGCTGGACCAGACTCAGGAATCCTGGGACTTCTGCTTCTGGTGAAGCAGTGCTGGGGGTGTGAGGAGGATGGTGTGTAGGGTGAGAATCCTTTCAGGCTGGGGGATGGTCACCTGGGGAGTGGGAGGGCTCTCCTCATTCTCACGCCATGGTGGGAGGTAGACTGGCTTCCATGAGAATGCTTTGCCCAGAGGTAGGAAGGGACCATCCTGCTTGCTCTGCAAGGTCAGACCAGACCAGAGGCCTCCAAGGGCAGAAGCAGGGCCCAAGAATGGCCTGAGGTAATATAGACTAGTGGTTAAGAGTCATATGGGTTCTTGTTCTGATGCTGTCACTTATTTGCTGGGTGACTTTGGGCAAGTTACTTAACCATTCTGAGCCCTGTTTCCTCATCCATGAAATGGGTCTAATATCTGTGATTACTAAACAGGGTTCTTCTAAAGATGGAATAACATATATAAATATAAATGGCAGGTATTGTTATTAATATCAGTGACAATAAGACTGTTTATAAAGGGTGGAATGTAGGGAAGTATGTTTCAGCTCAATAAAACATTATAGATGTCCTTACTCAAATAGGTTTTATCTTGAGAGAATGAGCACTCTGTCACTAGAGGCATTTAAGCAAAAGTTAGAAGTCCCCTAACTGGGGTTGTCGTCGAGATATCGAAGCCTCAGACTGGGACAGGCATGGTGATCTTGCAAAGCCTGTGTGATCCATGATCGTGGGTGGGGGCGTGGAGGGTGGATTGCAAGGTACTGCCTTCCAGCCTAGCCCCGTGCAGTGCAGATTATTCCGGAGCCTGTATCCCTCATATGAGGCACTGAGATCTGGTGTCCACGTCAGATCACTGGGCAATGAGTCAGGGAGTGCCAGATTTTGAAGAATCCTCCTTGTGCAGGTGGTTAACTAATCTCATTATGGGGGAAGGCCATGTGAGATGCCCACGTGTGCAGGTGTGTCTGAGTGGGGTCTTCTGTCCCTGGCCTGGAGAATTCTTCTGCGAGGTTGCTTCCAGAGGTGTGATGGGCAGAGACAGCAAAGGCTACAGCCTTCGGTGAGCCAGGGTTTGTGTGCCTTTGCCTAGATGAAGCACAGGCCTTCTGACTTGTGTTGTGAGGGTCTCTTGCTTCGCTTGGCTTTGAATGAGGCAGGAACAGTCCGCCTAGGTATCAGAGAGGGGTATGGAAAAACGGATGGGATGGGTATGGGACTTGGCTGAGAATTGCTTCATAAGCCCCTGTGGCAGCAGAGCTGCAGTAGCTTTAGGGGGATTGCCCTGGGCCCTCTTGACCCACGGCCCTTGTGTTCCTTGGAAGATAGCCTTCCTTTGGGGCCTCTGCTGGGCTGCAATGGCAGAGGCCCTTCAATATGGCGATCACTTGTCCAGGTCCAAGCTCAGCCTCTGCCCATGAGCGCGAATGCCTCCCCAGTCCTCTACTTGGCATAACTCTTTTGGCTCAGGTAGGTTTTTTTCTGCCACCCTAATGGTTCCTTACTTCCAGGGCCTGCCCCTGCCATAGTTTGTCATGGGCCAGTATACTTCCCTTGGGACCAAGAGGGTTCAAGTTGAATGTTTGACTGCTGTAACTGAGAGCCTGATGGATACCTGTCCTTCATATATACCTACCATAGATAGTACCGAGCACATGTGGCCACCGTCTGCTCCTCTGTGGGCCCCTCCCTCCAGACGATGAGCAACTCATAGCCAAAGGCTGGGCCTTATTTATCTGTATCTCTCTGGGCACATTGCAAGTGCAAAAGTAGAAGAGTAAAAGTGCTTCGAATGAAAGGAGATGTGCACAATGTAAGGTTTGAAGTTGACGTTTAGCAGACTTGAACTTCTGCGTATAATTGAGTATTGCCTCATAAAATGGTTACCTTGGGAAGCCCCAAACTTATTCCAGTATAATGCTGCTATTTTTCTGCTAGAATGTTTTTGGCCTCCTGATTGGGTCTGTTTATGAGGCACAGAGGGCAGCCATCTTGGTTTTGATCCAAAATGGTGTTTGCAGTTTGATCAACAGATCTAGCTGGAAGGGACATGCAAAAGATTGGCTGCTGCTGAAAGACTTAGTGATGAGTGCTCAGTAGTAGGTCTTGGAGGGGGTTCCCTAGGAAGCGATCTCAAAACAGGCTGAAGCTGCAAAATCAGGGGGGTTTAGTTTCATAAAGTGGCTGCTTTAAAAAGAAGTGGCTGCTATTTCAGATGGGGAAGTTTCCAACAGATTTATAAAAATGATTCCTTCATTCACTGCTTTGTGTTCACAGCTGTATTGCCAGTGTCTGGAGCAGTGCTGGTATGCAGTAGGCATTCAATAGATATTTGTTGAAGGAGTGAAGGAATTCAACAAATTATATTTGTTAAGGATTGCCTACTATTTTCCAGGCACTGTGGTAGGTGGGTTGGTCTTACTACTTTATAGACCTGACATGTGCATCTGGGGGGTGGGGGAAGGGGGTACTATGCAGCTACATATACATTCACACACATCTAGCTATAGATTTCATTGCCTCTGGGATTACTGCCTTCATTGTGACCTAATAACATATTGGCTGGGCTTGGCCAAGTTTATATGTTTTTATTTCCAAGGCCAACACTTGATTTTTTAAAAGGGAATATTTTGATGCGGGCAGAAAATTAGATTGAAAACAGAGCGTGCACTCCTGGGGCACTGTCCTGGCTTGTTTAACGTCAGCAAGCAGCTGCTCTCCCTGGCTTGCATACACAACATGCTTTAAATCTGAAATAATAGCACTTTGTACTGGAGTGGAGGACCAGCTCCCACTTTTGGGATAATTAAGTTTTACTAATAGGATTTTCCCCTCTTGTCTACTTGTAGGTAAAGGCATACCTGCATGATAGTGGTTGTGCTTTGGGGTGGAATGTGGTGCCCTGGTGAGTGTGCATAGCCCTCATGGCCAGGGCTTTTCCGCATCCCCCCACTTTAAGCGCTGGAACCCTCTGTTTACGTGAAATGTTACATGGAACCCCATGAGTGCACAATACAGTAAAAGTGAATCTGCTTTGCTTGAGGTGGCCATGGCTGTCTTGCACAGCCTCTTTTCACCCCTTCCCAGTTGCCTCTGGATCCCAGAGCTCCCCAAGGCCCTGGAAGAAGAGCCCGCATACGTGTGGTCACGCACGTGTGCATTCACAACTGCTCACCTGTACTGTGCCATGTGTTCATGCTTCTTCTCTCTCCCCTCTCCCTCCTGCTCACTGCGTGCCTGGTTCAGGCGGGCCTCATTCGTACAGACAGCACTGACTACTTCATTGAGCCCTTGGAGTGGGGGCAGCAGGAGAAGGAGGCCAGCGGGAGAACACACGTGGTGTACCGCCGGGAAGTCCAGCAGGAGTGGACGGAGCCTGCTGGGGACCTTCACAATGAAGGTAGGCCGTGGGCAGGGCCCCGAGCTCTGCTTCCATTCATATCTCTGGGGTGTTTTTAGGTGACTTCTGGCCTTAACCTTTCAATGTCTGGCTTCACTCTTTTCCTCTGTAAAATGGGACTAGGTCATGTAGACCTACCGTACCTGCAGAGAAACCGCAGTGGATTTTAGGGGCTACTGAAGCCGGCCATAGTTGGGGACCAGAGGAGCTACTTGAGCCCCCTAAACTATGGTCCTTGGGACTTCAGAGGTTTCTGAGGGGTTCATTGTTGCTTTGCAGGGCTATTTCTCTGCCAAAGTAGCAGGTGAAATGGCTGCTGTTAGCTCTTCCCCCTAAAAATCAACTCAACCCCTGGGCGCCACAAGAAGGACATTCTTAGGGCACTCATAGGGAGACTGCCTGGTGTCAGGGCATCAGGGTCAGCTTGGTGTCCACTAGACTACTTGTAAAACCTGTCTCCAGGGTTATCTACTGTGTGACCCTAAGCAAGTTACTTAATGTTTCTGAGTCACATTTTATAATCCATAAAGTGGAGCTGATCGTTGTTCACCTCTAAGGTTGTGTGATTCAGTGAGAGTGTATATAAAAATCCCAGCTTGGAGCTTGGCAAGTTCCTCTTATTCCATTATTGTTATTAGGGTGGCCACTGACATGTTAGGGTGAAAGCCCTTGAGAACAGGGGTGTCCCTGTACCCTGGTGACCAAAACAGGAACCTGCATACCAGCATTACTCAGGACCTGTGGTTGAGCAAATGAAGCGGTAGATGCGACACGTGCCAGTTCGTAGTCCAAGTTAGCCTTGTCATGAAGGTTTTAGCCAAGAGGACATGAGAAGGCCCTGGGTGGAATCAGGCCATGAATGACCACATCCTCCACCCAGGGCCCTGGCGGGGTTGAGCATAGCGTGAAGGAATGCCTGAAAACCAGTTGTCCCCACATACAGTGCCTCCTCTGAAGCTCAGAAGAGAAGCTGCAGCGCCAGGACTAGCTGAGAGGTGGAGGGCTCTGCAGGCCTGGGGTGCGGGGAGGCGGGGGCGAGTAGCTGGGCAAAGCCTCGAGGGCTGGGGTGGATTGCAGGGGCGGGGTGGTGACTGGCACCGTTCCTTCCAATGTAGCAGAGAAGAACAACAAGGCTCATAGGGCTCTGTTTTATTTGAGCTGATTCCGAATCGAAAGGCCATAAATCCCCTTTTGGGGAGAGACCCTGGGGAGGTCCTGCACAAGGGTCTGAGCCCGGAACCAGCCAAAGTTGTGTGGAAAGCTGAGACTGCTAAGCTGGTGGAGTTGGAGTTCAGGCCCAGTAATGGGGATGTGGCTTGCCTCATCAGGCTGCCGCTGGAACTCCTGCGGGCCTATGGGCGATGCCATGCCCTGGGCCCATCTGGGTCCTCCTTAGAAAGACGAGGGGCAATGGAAGACTTTCTGGACTCTTACTCTGTTATTTTAAGACTAGCAGTGAGTCTGAGCCCAGTGTGTGGAGAAGCGTTTCTGGTTGTGCCTGCCACCGTTTAACATCCTTGAAGAGATGAAACGTTTTACCTCACACCTTCGGGTCTATTTTTTGGCAGACAGAGTGATGCCTGAGTGATGCCTGGGCCAGCTGGTCAGCACCTGCTTAGCCACAGTCAACAGGCTTTTGAGGAATGTTCCCCAGCTTGAGCACCTTCCCCATCTCCGTCCATCTCCATCCTGCCTGGTAGTCAGCCCAGCTCAGACATCCCCTTCTCCCGGATCCCTTAGCCCCATGGATTTCTCCTGGGACTGTCCCTTCCTCCCAAACAGGCCAGGGTGTCCTGGAGGACAGATACCAAGTCTTAATGATGTTTATGTCACTCACATGAGCTCTGCTCTCCCATGGGATATATCCAGCTTTCTTGGAGGAAGGAAAGGAAGCATCAGAAGATCCATCGGACTGATGTTATGGGTGAGCTGTGGCCTGTTGAGGGGCCTCCTGCCACCTGGGCTCCACTGTAGAGATGGCTGATGTGCACCAGTAAACTTGGGGGGCAGTGGGGACTCTTCCCCGTGGCTCTCAAGGTATGGCCTTGGCTACTGCTTTCTGAAGAGAACATACATGCACCCATACACAATCACACTCACCTATATATATTCACTCACCTACAACCCGCAGTCACACACTCACCTACACACATTGGCTCACTCACATAAAACACACCCACATACTCACCCACACACTTACACAGTCACATATCTTGTATGCTCACACTTACACAGTCACACGACTCACAAATTAACACACACTCACACTCATTTACACATACTAATACCCATTCATACATCCATATGCATAGTCACACACCTCACACACTCACATAGTCATACAACTCACAAATTCACAGTCACACAGCTCACACTCACACATACCAACACCCATTCACACCTCACAAATTCGCACAGTCACACACCTCACACATTCACATACTCAAGTTCAACACACTTTATCCGCTCACATACCCACAGTCACATACCTCACACACTGATACTTGCCTACTCACATATACCCCACATTTATACTCACCCTTGATGGGCCCCAAAGAAGAGTTAAGTGATTCTTTCCTCAAGGGCTCTAGTGAGAAATCTAAACCACTCTGAGTCTGGGAGTAGGAATTCCTTTGGCTGGACCTCAAGGTGTGAGCTGGCCCTTACCCCGGCCTCTCTGGACTTCCCTGTGGGCCCTGCCTTGGCCTTGGAGGCTGTTCCTGGATGTTCCCATACTTCTAATGCTTTCCTTTCCTTCCTTAACCCACAGTCCTGTTCTCTGTCAACCCCTTTCCATCCTCCAAATCCCTCCCGAGGAGGGAACTGGAGTCCAATGGGCCGTGTGTGCCTGTGGCCGGAGTTCCCAGCTCTTTGGCAAGAGGCCAGGGCTGCCAGACACTGGGGCAGCTCACCCCATCAAGGCAGCCCGCCAGGCTGGGGCTTAGGGCTGCTGCTTTTTTTTTTTTTTTAATTGAGATAAAACCCACCGTTTTAACCACTTTAAAGTATACAATTCAGTGGTTTCTCACTATATTCACAGTGTTGTAGAACCAGCATCGCTATCTAATTCCAGAACATTTTTATCATTCCATAAAAAACTCTGTGCCCATTCATAAGCAATCCTCCCATTTTCCCCCTCCTCAACTCCGTGGCAATCACCGATCTACCTTCTGTCTCTATAGATTTGCCCATTCTGGACATCACTTATAAATGTAATCATATATGTAACCTTCTGTGACTGGCTTCTTTCACTTAGCCTCTAAGTTTCATCCATGTTGTAGCATGTATCAGTACTCGACTCCTTTTTATGGCAGGTTAATATTCCATTATATGGACATGCCACATTTTGTTCATCTAGTCATCTGTCGATGGACATTTGGGTGGTTTCCATTTTTTGCTATTATGATCATGCTGCTGTGAATATTCGTGTGTAAGTTTTAGTGGGAACATGTGTTTTCAGTTTTTTGGGGTATATACCTAAGAGTGGAATTTCTGGGTCCTACGGTAATTTGATGTTTAACTTTTTGGAGAAACTGCCAAACTGTTTTTCAAAGCAGCTGCATCCTTTTATATTCTCTTAGGGCTTCTTGGGTGGGCTTGTTGAGAGCTTCCCAGGATCCTGCTGCCCCCGTCCCTCCCTGCTTTGAGGGTTACCTATTTCTGGCCTGAAGGACGTGAGACACATGGAAGAGGGTGTTGCTTGGAATATCTCCAGGGTCTATGGCTGATGTCAGCAGGCCCTCTCCAATTCCCCTTGCCATTTTTGCTGAGAGAGAAATCAGAGTGGGCCTTGATAGGGTGTGATGATGAGACCATAGAAGATTTGGGTGTGCATTTTGGGCTTTCTCATTAACTTGTTGTGTGACCTGCGATAGGTCAGGTAAGCTTTCCGAACCTCCTTTGGCAGACCTGGCAAGGAGAGCTGTGAGAGGTCAAGTGCCACATTTCCCTTGCAGTATGTAAACCTCTGGGTACTGCTCACGAGTTGGGAGTGACTGTTATTTGTTCTCCTCATTCCACGGAGAGAGTCTTGCTCCTTCTTCTCCCCTGCTGAGGGTCCTCTTTTCCAAGAACCTGCCTGTGGGCTGTCACTGTTGGGCTCAGGAGCCAGGGCTGCCAGGAGCTCCTATGCAGTGTGACTTGCTGAGAGAGACACACTGGCTGTGATGGACCAGAGGGCCAGCCCCACTTCTGGTTTTTACTGTAGGCCAGTGGCCACACATCTTTTCAACCCTAGTGCTTACATCTAGTTCTTTCTTTCCTTTGCACCATAGCAACACTAACCAAAGAGAAAATAAAAAGACAGTAGCACTGAGTCCCATGGTTCCCTGTTGCTCTGTCCTCAGATTTTAGTTTCTAAAGTACCACGTCAATAGAAACTTAGAGACAGAACTTGGATCTTTGCAAAGGTACCTGTTGATTCGTCCCTGAGGCTCACCCACACTGTGGACGGTGCCTCCACATACTTGCTTACAATCGGTTTTGCAGGTGCACTGCCCTCTGCTCAGGACTCTCTGTTCCTCCTGTTCCAGCAGGTTGTCTCCTGCTCCCTGTCTAGCCCAGTTGAGAGAGGCTCCTGGAGGCTCTCCTCCAGGAGCCTCTCTCAACTCCCCGCTCCTGGTTTGGGTCTCAGTGCAGAAGCCTTTCCTAGTCAGTCCTACTCAGCCCTTGACATCACTGTATTGTTACAGCCTGATATCTTATCTGTCACCTGCACTGGGTGGTAGGCTTGAGGGCAGGGCCCTTCCTTAATCACCCACCTACCGCCCAATCATCTCATAAGTGTGGGACCCCTCCTGCAGCCACATCCTTGGAGACATGCTTGGATTGTAGTTGTGGCATCTTTTCAGTTTCAGCTCCTAGCTTATTCTCTAGGGAATTCTCAAATAACTGTGGATAAATTAATGTTCATGGAAATCAATGGTACAAGTATCAGAACTTTAGGGTAGGATGGCAAGAAAGTCATTTAGTGTTAAGACTTTGATTGAAATCTTCCTGAGAAATCCCAGGCTCCTGTCCTGCTTTCTTAGCTCTTCCTTCAGTGTCTTCATGCACCACCCCCTCCACTGCCCCAACAAATGTTGCTCCAGTCTTTATTCAGGCTAAGGTGTGAATGACTGATCATTGCACTTTCAGTTACCTTTCCAAGTAGCGATATAGATGGTGATGTTTCAATGCATGGTCTTTTGATTCAGACAGACCTAGACAAACTACTTCGAACCTCAGTTTATTTACCTGTATAATGGGGACAATAACCTGATAGAATTGTTGTAAGGATTGGATCAGGTTAGGTTAGATTAGGTTAAATTAGAAGTCGTTGCAAACGAAGGTACAGGGGCCAAATATGGCCCACCACTTGTTTTTGTCAATAAAATGTTGTTGGAACACAGATACACTTGTTTGTTTATGCATTGTCTATTGCTACTTTTATGCTTCCACAGCCAAATGGAGTAGCTGAGACAGGGACCATATAACCCACAAACCCTAAAATATTTATTATCTAGTTTACAGAAAAAGTTTGACAACTCCTATATTACATAATGTAAGTTAATAAATCCTAATAAGATAAATATTTTGCTTGTAGCCAAAAGGCCACTGTGATGGTGAAATTTTGGGTCGATGTCAGTGATTGAGAGGGATTTGAAAGTCATAGGGCATACTCCTGCCTAAATGTCCTGCATAGGCCACAATAATGTCACAGTTTTTTCCTTTATCAAGATGTTTCTACCTACTGCCACTTTTGATTTTTATAGCAAGCTTATAGGGCAAGAGAGCAAGGATTATTCATCTCCATGTCACAGGAGAGGAGATGGAAGCCTGGAGGAGTGAAAGGGGCTGAGGCCAGGAGGCACCGTGAGACAGGACCGAGTGGAGACTGGGACCCAGACCAGTTCTCACTCCTCTGCTACTCATTTTCTCAAAGACTCAGCCATGTCCCTGTGCCAGGAAAACGCTTCACACTCGTGAATTCCCTGCAAAAGAACAAATTCTTATGCTACCTTGCCTTACAGAGGCGGAAAAAGGGGCACATGTGATGGGGGCAGGGATGAGTTGACTGGCAGTGTCACAGTGACAGCCCCTTATGTGGATTTGACCTCAATCTCTTCCCATCCTGTTTCCAGCCTTTGGTTTGGGTGACCTTCCCAACCTACTGGGCCTGGTGGGGGACCAGCTGGGCGAAGTGGAGCGGAAGCGGCGACATGCCAAGCCAGGCAGCTACAGCATCGAGGTGCTGCTGGCGGTGGACGACTCGGTGGTACGCTTCCACGGCAAGGAGCACGTGCAGAACTACGTCCTCACCCTTATGAACATTGTGAGTGTCTCCTAGTCTTGGGATTGGGGGGCTGGGTTGGGACCCACCAGGGCTGATCTGCGTGCACAGTTTCTCTCAGGCCTGGCATTTTCAGGGTCGACACAAGGGAATCTCTATTTGCTCTATAGTCCAGCTAGACAGCAGGTTCTGTGGTGAAACAGGCCGAAGCTGGTCTGACATCCGTCCTGGGCTGTAGCCTCACTGCAGCTGTCCATGCCTGTGCTGAGGTGCCCACAGGTGATCTACACTAGCCCCTGGCAAGCTGGAACCCTCGGACAGTGGGTTCTGGACTTGGATACATTTAGAACCTAGGTCCAGTGTGACCAGGACTTGACTGAGACTCCTCATCTAGAGAAAATGCACAATCTCAGGCTGGGAGCAGGGCCGGTGCTATCAATCAGCTGGGGGATCCCAGGCCTCCAGTGTGAGCCTTGGGTGTTCATAGAGACCTGACAGTCAGGGAAAACAGGATCATTGGCAAATTTGGAACTGGTGAAGCAGAGAACTGTGCTGTCCAAAGTGGGAGGTGGCCAGTCAGCTGCTGCTGGTGGCTCTTGTGCAGAGATAGAGGGCTCTTTTGTCACAGAAGGGCCTGCATTTCAAGAAAAGTCAGAAATGCCATTGTTTGTGTTTTTTAAAAAACCTTTATTGGAAAATTTAAATCCAGTTATCTAAGTGAAACTGACAATTTTTAAATGTTAAAATGAAAAAAAAAAAAAACACTGTGAATGCTAAACAGAACATGCCTACATGCCACATTTGGCCTATGGGTTTCAGGTGGTCACCTCTGAGCTAAAGGGGCAGAGACAACTGAGACCAGAAGGTGAAGGAAGGTGAACATGTCAGAGGTGGACCCTGTACTGTTTTTCTTCTGGCAAGAGGCCTTTGTCAGAGGTGCCTGCAGCTGTGGCTCTGGGAAGGTTGGGGACCAGTCTAGGTGCAGGTAGGGCCTACGGTGGAAATTGTGCAGGCTACAGTTAGCTGCCGGAGCATGTGGGCAGGACCACAGGCCCTCCTATAGAAAGCTGGGTAGACGGTGACATGTTGGGGGTCAGGCCTAGCTCAGCATGCTGGGGTGCTGTGGAGTCCAGGCAGGAGGAGACGAGCAGTGGAGTGGGTAGGCAAATGCCACATCGACAGGAGACAACAGGGCAGGGCCTTCACCTGTGAGTCTGCAGGTGACTCAGCTTGATGGCTCATCGTGAATGTTTATACAGAACAAAGAGCTGAGAAGGAAAATTTTATATATATATATATATACACATATATATGTATATATATGTGTACACACACACACACACACACACACACATGGTGTGTGTGTCCTGAAGAATTTAAATGGGGCCCCTTTTTAAGGCCAAAGTTTCTAGCCCTGCATGAGCCTCTGCTGGCCTTAAGGTTAGGGTCCTCTGACCTGTGGCCTATGAAGAAGTTAGCTAACTGAATTCTCATGAAGACCAAAAGATGACTGTAGGTGGGCCAGGGCTGGCATAGAACACCTTACATTCATTCTAACATAGACAGTTCTTGGAGGCCGTGATGGATATGCAGCTGATCACCGTACTGCATAGAGAGGAACATTAATGAACTGGTCAACAGCCTGGGCTTTGGGATCACACTGTCTGGCCCTGGCCCTTCCTGTCTTTTGACCTTGGAGGCAAATTACTAACCCTCTCGAGTATCTCTTTCCCCACTTTTAAAACAATGTTAACAGTACTTACCAAGGTTTGGGGGAGGATTAAACAGCAGATAGCGTCGTAACAGCATAAGCTCTTAAGAAGTGGTGGGTGATAATAATACTTTCATGAGGGGCGTTGTAATACGTGTCTGGGAACTCAGCAGTCAATGAGCAGAAGTGTCAACCTCATGGTCATGCCAATCCCCCTGGAAACATTTGTAGGATAATAAAACTGTGACACCGCCTATGCTTTCTGAGATCCATAATCCCGCCACAAAGTAGGCCAGGTGGCTGCCAGGAGGGCATGCAGCCAACGCATTTTTAGCTGTGTTACCTTGTGCGAGGGACCTACATTGCTTAGGACTGTGTAGGTTGCAAATGATGGAAAACCAACTCAAACTAGATTATGAAAAACAGGGTAATTTATTGGCTTGTTGGCCTAAGAAATGCCCAAACCTGTAAAGAATTTTTATAAGATTTTATTTGAGTCAAACTGATAACAATTGCCAGGAAATACTCCAGAAAAATGATAGCTTTTTCCCTTCTCTTTGTGACATCCTAATTCTAACTTTTCTGCGAGACAGATTCTGGCCATTTGAACATGAGGCTGACTCCTATAACTCTGTGGCCAGAGACCAAAGAAGTTTTCCCTCCAATTCCCAGGTAAAAATCCCTGGGGCAGGACTCTGATTGGTCTCACTTTGGGTCACATGACTACCATTTGGACCAAGCACTATGTGTCAGAGAAAGAGTTAGAGTTTCCCAAAGAAAGAGAGGGACTGAACATAGGCATGACCACTGGAGAAATTGTCCTGAGCTGGCCAGACACCCTAGTTTGTATCTGCTGCAATATTTAACCCCTGAGAGCCTTTATTTTTTCATAATAGTATCTGCTATTGGCTTTGTTGTGAAGGTAAATATGTATAAAGTGTCTAGCACACTCCTGGCACACAGTGAGTACTCAAGTACTGTATTCTGTCATTTCCGGCCATATTATTTGTCTGAATGTGTTTAAATAAGCAGTTCTTTGTCTAAGTCTCAGATGGTGAGCTCCTTTAGGGTGAAGATTTTGTCTTCTACTTTACTGAACCCTGAAAGCACACAGTACCGTGCCCGACACCTGATAGGTGAATGGTAAATGTGGAAGTGAATGGTGTCTATGGGAGAAGGTGCCAGCTTCCACCTAGATGGGAAAAGGGGAAGGCAGCAGATTTCTGTCTGCAATGCCAGCATTAAGAAAAGGGCAGGGGTAGAAATCAGCTCCAATTACAGGAACCACAGGGAGAGGAAAGGCTGCCAGAAAGTCTGCCTGCTTCCACCTCTTCGTTCGGATATTAATTCTTCTACCCCTTACGTAGCATATGGTTTGAGATCCAAAGAGCGAAGGTTACCATGTGGGCTGTTTAAGAAAGAGAGAGAGAGAGGATGACTATGCTATGAACACACTCATTTTGATGATGTACTTGACCACCCATCCAGGCTCTATAAATAGCTGGCCCAACCTAAGACCACACAGCTGACCACACAGCTGAGTACTAATCCCATTAGTGGGAGAGCTGCGTTGCCCCAGGAACCAGCAGGTGGAGAAGGAGGAGGAGTAGAAGAGAAGGGTATTGGGAGCCTCGGTCCTGGGTCCAAAGCTGGGGTTGGAGACCCTAAGAGTGTGAGTCTGGCCCAATTCACAGCCCTAGAGCCCTTCAGTTTGCTAAAAGATGATTTTCAGAAAAAGGTAAAATCATAACTCTCATGCAGAAATAAAAACGAGTGTGTGTTAAAGATTTTGCTCTACTCGCTTATCAGTGAAGGAAGCAGTTGGATATTATAACCTGTTCAAAAGAGAACTCAAAAAACAGAAACATTTATGGATCAGAAACATTGAAATGAATGTACAGATAGAAACAATATTAGCTTTTTTACAGATAGAAACAATATTAGCTTTTTCTGCAGGATGGAAGGGAAGACAGAATTGGCCTGTCTATAGAAGAGATTTTGCATTGCTATTAGTTATCTACAGTGCTCTCAGTTGTAAATTAGCTTCCTAGAATCAGATTCAGATGAGGCCCAAAAGTGTGCCGTAGACAATGCATAGCTCCCATGGGAGTTCAAATTTTTATTCTCTGAGTGTAAGGCCTGGACTTGGTCCCAGGTAGAGAGTCCTTTCCATAGATGGCAGGGTACCTGGCTGCCCATCTGACTTACAAGCCCATCTTGTTCCTGGAGCTAGAGGGGTTGCAGCCTCACTCAGGAGACACCCTGGATTCTAGCTATGTGATACACCTAAGCAACTAAGTGATGGTACCTTCCCCCACTTTACCTCCCCTCCCCCAAAGTTAGCCTCACCACCACCTCTGTCTTTCAGGATTCTGCCTGGGCAGTAGGATGTGGAGAGAAGACCTAGAGTTAAGGTAGTTGAAGATGGGCAGTCTGAGGAAGACCAAAGTCCCTTGGGCCATGTGCTTCATTCTTTCTAGCATCTTTTAGAACAGAGGTCCCCAACCCCCAGGCTGTGGACCGGTACTGGTCAGTAGCCTGTTAGGAACTGGGCCACACAGCAGGAGGTGAGCGAGCAAAGCTTCACCTGTATTTGCAGCTGCTCCCCAGCGCTAGCATCACCGCCTCAGCTCCACCTCAGATCATCAGGCATTAGATTCTCATAGGAGCACCTGTCTCTGGTCCCAAAAAGGGTGGGGACCGCTGTTAGAGAAACCCTCCCATCTGAGTGCCTCCATTGAGCTTAGCTTCTCCTTAAATGGCTCTTGGTTAGAGTGAAGTATGAGCAGGTCTGCACATTCTGGAAGGGTGGAATGGGCTTCCTGGAGCCCCACTTCTCAGCTGGCCCCACCCCCCAAGTCTTGGCTACCATTTATTCATATGTTAAGAGTCAGGTACTGTGCTGCCTTGGTGCTAAGCATTGGGCAGGAGGCGGTGGTTGTTAGTCAGGGCTCTGCGGTTGTAAGTGACAGAGACCCAACTCACACTAGCTTAAGCCAAAGAGGGGATCTATTGGAAGGGAGCACTTGACAGTGGCCACGGAGTTGGTACAAGAACTGTGGGACAGGGCAGCACCAGGGACCATGGGTGTAGGGCCTCAGGCCCATTAGGACACTTTCTCCCTTTCTGTCTGTGCTTAGTGATACAAACTGACAGGAGACAGGCTTTCTCCCCATGGTGGGAAGCAGGGATACTTGCAACCCCAGATTCCAACACTTCTGTTTGTAGGACCCAAAGGCAAAGGAAACCTTCCTGCTCTCCTAGGGAGGATTGGCCTGAGTTGGGTTATGTGGCTGTCCTAGATTAATTGTGGTGTCTGGAGGGTTGGCTT